GTGATTGAAATCCACACCATCATAGATCAACGACGCACATGAGAATCCAGGATAGGTTTTGATGCTTATTAGTAATTAGTTTCTTTGAAGTTATTTATGAGGGAGAGAATTTCATGCGCTTACGAGATCAGTTACTTGTTTGCTCAGGAAAGACTGCGAAATATAACCACAACTGTAAGAGCAGTAACAAACTGATGGATGTTGAAAGAGCTACAGGAGGCAAACATTCAAAGGTTTTCAAAAGGACTCGCATGTCTGAGCAGCCTGAGCAAAGGGCAGGTCCTGGTCTTCTGCTGGTGTGTCAGCAAGTGCTGCATCACTGAGCCCTGCAACTTGTGTATGCTGCCTGATTATAGAGAAATGTTTAGTCACTGGCTCTGTAGGGAGAAGGTGGCTGCAGAAAGATCTGATAGATAAGGAAGTCTGGACTTGAACCTGAGCCTCGCGTGCAGTCATCTCCCACACTGCAATACAATGTTGCTAAGCTACCAAGGTTTTCTTCTAATTGTCCTGGTTGAAAAATTGAAGACAAAAAATCTTTTTCTTTTGTTTTAGGACAGTAGTGAGCATGGCACAGTCTTTGTCAATATCAATAAGATGCTGAGATAGGGATCAAAATAGTGTGCAAGAGAAATGGTTTGAGGATTCTGGGTTTATAAATACCTTAAATCCATGGAGAATCAATTGAAAGAGGGGGTTTATGTCTTCTAAAAATAGTTTTGCACTTGGTTTCCAATCCCTTAGCCCTGAATTTTTATTCTTGCCTGCCATTGTTCACACAACAATGTTGAAACTTGATACCACATGTCTGAAGGATTTACAAAATAAAAGGGCAACTTTAAAAATCACTGTTATTTCTATTCTGTTTTGGAGCTAATTGTTCAAACAGTTGGATTTCCAATTCTTGAGCAAAAAATGGAAGGATTGAGATACATTCAATACCTGTTTTCATCTGTCTTGAAATTTAATCACTCATCACTTACGCTGAAGTGAGATACAATGAATTGCTAACTGTTGTATGTCTAAGAGTTTATGTGTGTGTATATAGATAGATAAAGGATAGCTAGCTAGCTAGGAAGATATCTTCTGTGTAAACAGCAGAAGTGTTCTAGACAGCTGAAAAGCTAAAACACATAAGGAATTTATTTGATTTAAGCAATCAAAACAATTGTAAATGGTTATTTTTAATTATTTGTTTGTATTTTTGAATTATATAAAGTGTTACCAGTGTTTTACTGGGGGTCTTGCAAGATACATTTTTTCTTTCACATTAACTTACAAATCACCCAGTAATTCTGCATACCATTAATTCATACCTTGAACCTATAAAGACTTATATGCATATTTAACTCAATATGCTATTTATATAAAAATAACAGGCTCATGGCCTTCATTATAAAACATCTGTCTGTCTCATGCAGTCAAGGCTATGCACAGATTGTCAGACAGAAATAGGAAACTTGTCTCAGGTCCACTGCAGGCACCAAATCAACTTTATGAATGGCATAGTATTTTTTTAAGTGAAAAGAACAAAGAAGGAAATTTCCTTTATTTCATATTATCCACTTACACTGTATGAACTCCCTGACACACAGCAGAGTCAGAGAAAATATATTTTTTTAAAAAAGGAAAATGTTCTAGATCTAGAAGACAAAACTATAGGTAAGAAAACTTTTGATGTCAACCCTGATCCACAATGATTTATGCTCACATGTCCTACAAGGTGACCACTCAAAGGAATGGGTCTTTTTCTGATTGTGAAATTTATAGTGACAGGTCTTTTCAGAGTTTGAGGTCTACAGGTAACCAGGTGTGACTGTTTTCTTTTTGTTTGGTTGGTTTTTGTCTTTTTTTTTTTTTTTTTTTTTTTTTTTTTTCAGTTATACATAAGATAGGCCTAGAAATAACTTTGGGTCAATCATAAACTTCTTTCAATAGTTTTGAGGCTTTTTTTTAGACTTCCCCATGTTTTCAAAGTAAGTGAGCATTCAATAAGTCATTATTTCAATTGCTTCCCAAATTGAACTTCTCAGTTTGAAATTATTGAAGTGGGGCTGTATAAATACATTTGTAGATGTAGATGTAGATGTATACTCTCCACAAGAAAAGGACAAGATAAAAAAAGCAAAGGCTTACAAAACACTTTTTATCCTAAAGTTATTAAATATAAGCAAAACACTATTTTCTAACAAAGGAAAATCAAACGTTATTTTGGGGGGGTTTTCTTCTTTTTTTTTTTTTTAATTTTTAGTATTTTTTTTTTTTTAGTATTTTGGTCCATAGTTTGCTTTTCTGTGTTAATCCAGTCAAGCCAATTACTTTATAACCATATGTCAGCTTATTCCAAGGAAGATGATGATGGTCAATGGAGCTCTTCAACACACAGAGTTTACCTGCCAAAAGTTTTTGAAAACAAAATTCTTCACAGGGAAATGTCACTGGCAGCTCTGCCAAGAAATGTTGAAACTATTTGTTTCATTCGGATACAAAATGTAGCTTCAGTTGGGTGATTTAATTTAAACAAGCCTCCCTTCCATGTCAAAGTGTGGATTTGAAATGACAATTCTTATTTGATTTCAATCAGAAATATCAACATTTTCAGTGTGACATTTTCGATTCCAAAGTTTTTGAGTTGCGTATTTGTTTGGGATGAGGGTGGAGTTGATCTACCAGTCATCATTTTTTTTGTGTGTATTTCATTGATTTATTTATTTTCTCCTATTGGTGAAGAGAAGCAGGAGGAAAGGACCGTAAGAGAAGAAGGACGGTCACAGCCTGTTGCCTCCACCCGAGCTCCTCAGTTTGGGATTTGTAGGCATCGCGGCAGAGGTCCATCATGTGAAGAGATCCAAAAGGAAATAATGGCTTGGTGTGTTTTTTAGAAAGCGTGAGGAAACACGGTGGGGCTGAGGGCACACACTCACACACGTAGCTGAGTCTGCTGAGGGTTGGTGAGGGCTGCACTGGCACCTTGTGAGCTGCACAAAGGTCTCCCACCCAGCTGGTGTTAGACTGGGACCTGCGTCGTAGATGTGTTGCTACACAACTGAGGGATCATGGCATACGAATAAGCCTCCATGGCTGGTGGGAGTCAACACAGGTAGTCCTTGCATCAGTTGAACCCTGAATTCAAGTCACTCCGATGACGGTCTGCGGTTACCCAGAGCAAAGGGGAGAAACTTGGTGTGCTTTGTGCCTCCCGCAACACGCTGGGACGGGGATCCCGGTGGCACCATCCCTGCAAGGGACCAAATATGCAGAGGTGTCCAGGGGGTTACCTCCTACTTCCCCCCTGATGTAACTTTCACCTGTAAATACATTTCCAGAGCTCCATCCCACAAACCCTCCCTACTCTGGAGGTTCCTCCTCGTATGTGTGATTACTCAGGCAAGCCAACAATTTACTCCTGCAAGTAAAGGTTTGCCAAACTGGCAACCCGAACGGCAGTGTCATCCAGACCACTGGCAGAGCAAGGGTGGGAAACCAACAGCCCAAGGACTTGGATTTTGTACAGCTCCACTGGCCCAGAGATGAATTTGTGCTGTATTTTGGGCACTGGTGCTGCTTCGTACTGAAAGTTGGTGGTCGTCTGGGGTGACGACTTTAATCCTTAAAATAGGTGATGGGAGTCTTTGCTTCTCTACCCCAGCCCCAGAGCCGGATTCCTCACCTCGGGTCTGAACAGCAAACGCTGGACCCCCCAAAATCTCCCACGTAGGTCATGAACCCGCAGGGGCTGCGCTGTGAGATGGATAAGGGGGCCGGGGTGAGGGGCCGGGGGTGTGGGGGGCGTGGGAGAGGGAGAGATTGGCGTGGGATAAATACCACTAACCTGAGTCTCACCTTCTCTGCCTTTTCTCCCCTGCCCCCATCACTGCTGCTGTTGTGTCAGGTAGTGGCACTGTTGAGTACATTAACCCAGGGCTGAGCACTGCAGCCACACCGTGTGTGTGTGTGTGTGTGTGTGTGTGTGTGTGTGTGTGTGCCTGATCATTACCATTTATTCCCTCCCCCCAGCCCCCCGCCCCAGTGCTGCAGGGCTCCGGGAGCGAGCGAGAGAAACAGAGGAAAGAGAGAGAGACGGAGCCATCAGCCCCCAGATCTGCTTCAACAAATCGCCGCCCCTCGCAGGGAGGGAGAGGGAGAGAGCGGGGGAACCAGACCAAAAGACAAAATAAAAGACAGAGAAAGGAAAATCCAGCGGGGAGCAAAAAGCAGCCCCCAGACGCCCCCTTACCGAGACTGTACTCTCAGCGAGAAAGGGAGGGGGGGGGGGGGGTTGTGCGTGTGTGTGTGCCTCCGAGTGTGTGAGCATCGATCCCGTACCCGTTAGGAAAAGGGGGTGTTGTTTTGTTTTGTGGTGTGGGTTGCTGTTTTTGGTGTTTTTTTTTTTTTTTTTTCTTTTTTTTTTTTTTTTTTTTTTTTTTTTTTCCCCCCCGCCTCCCCTTTGCCCTCCCTCGGCGCGGCCCGGCGTGGGGCGGCGTGGCGGGGGGAGCGGGCGGCCGCAGCCCCGCAGCCCGCCGGAGCTCCGGCACCAGCACGGCCCCGCTCCGGAGACGGGAGAGCCGGAATAAAGGGAACAGCTTCCTCGCCGCCAAAGCAGCCCTGTTCTCGTCGCGGGGTTTTTGCTCTTTCTTTATTTTCTTTTTCTTTTATTATTATTTTTTTTTTTTTTTAAAACTCCTCGCCGGGAAAAGAAAAGCCGAAAACGCTTTCCCCCCCCTCCCCTTCGCTCCCCTTCAAAAGGCCCCTAAACAACCACCACCAACAAACAGAAACCAAAAAAAGCCCCCCTCCAAAAAAAAACAAGAAGAAAAAGAAAAGAAAAGAAAAAACGAGAGAACCAGAGAGACAGAGACAAGCTTCATCGATTTCAAATCCAGGATTTTATCCAGTGCATTGATTTTTTCCTTTTTTTTTTTTTTTTTTTTTTTTTTCTCTCACCCTTTTTTTTTTTCTCCTTCCCCCCCTCCTTTCTTTCACCCCCCCCCTTCCTCCTTCTCCTCCTTCCCACCCCCCTTTTCCTTTTCATTTTATTTTGGATCCTGCTAAAATTAGCCGGGACTGCTCTGGGTGTTGCGTGTTAATTTGATTTACTCCGGGATTCCGGCTTCCAAGACGCCATTTTCCCCCCTTTCTCGCTCTATCTCGCTCTATTTATCTATCATTTATCTATCGAGCTATCTATCCGTCTGTCTGTCCGTCCATCTCCCTCTCCCCGGGTGCCTTCCCTCCTCCCCCCCGCCCTCCTCCCTCTCCGCTCTGCGTGTGCTGCGCGGCCGTGCGCTCCCCTAATCTGACAGATGAACACCGCCATGGGTTTGCCGCAACACAAGCAAAAGCACCTTTGGGGGCTGTGGCGAGGGATTGAAACCGGGATCTAAAAGAGAAGAGACAAGAAGGGGGGAATCCGAGGGAGGAGGAGGAGGAAGAAAGAAGAAGAAGAAGAGGAAGCTGCTAAGAAGCCCCCGCTGCCGTTCTGGGGATATGGGTTAGTAAAGGCGGGGGGGCGGGAGGGGGGGGGGAGTAGGGGAGGGAAAAAGGGAAAAAAAAAAAGACAACAGAAAACCTGAACCATCGAGGAAAGGTCTGTCTTGATGATCCGGATTGCAGGAGGGTCTTACCCCTCTCCCTTTTCCCTTTCCCCCCCCCTTTTTTTTTTTCCCCCCTCTGCATGAAAAAGTTGATGTCGTCTCCTTTTTTTTTTTTTTTTCGTGTTGTGACTTTGCAATGGCGCGGAAAGGGCTTCATTTATTGGGGGGGGGGGGGGGGGGGGCGGGGGGATAAAATATTTCTCCGCTGTGCAATGCATTCGAGTCCTCCTCTCCCCTTCCGACCCCTTCCCTCCCCATGCTTTGTGGCCGGTGGATGGGGTGTGTATGAGGGGTGTGGGGGGGTAAAACCGTGCTGCCGGGAAGGGGTTGCAATTTTATTAGGAGTTTGCTTAAATGTATTTAGCCCCCCTTTATGATTCCCGTCCCCCCCCCCCCCCTTTGGTAGCTTATATGTGTTTCCCCGGCAGTGCCGGGGGTAGGTGGCAGCTATGTGTGTGTGTGTGGAAAGGAGGGGGGGGGGGAGACCCCCCCCGCTTCGTAAATTGCAGGTTAAGTGGAGCTAGAGAGCAGCGTTGTAACCTTATGAGGATTTTCTCTGTGTGTGTGTGTGTGTGTGTGTGCGCGTCTGAGTGTGTGCGAGTGTGTGTGTGTGTGCCCGCGTGTGCCCGGGGGGTCCGCGGCGACCGCCGGGCGCGGGGAGGGAGGGGGGGGGACGGGGACACACACACACACACACACACACACACACACACGCCGCTGCCCCGGGGCGGCCGCCGCGTCCCCGCGCTTGTTTTGACATTGAAAAGGACACGCAGCCCCGAAAAGCGGCAATTTGCAGGAGCAAAGAAGTGTGTGGGGAGGCGGAGGGGAGTAGAGAAGGGTGGTGGGGGGGGGAAGTAATTAGCCATGCGGGACTAGGGACTACACACACACACACACACACACACACACACACACACACCCCCGCTTCCCTTGCTCGGTGGCGAAGTGAGGCGCGTTAGTAATTATTATTAATAAGCCGGTGATTGTCGCCCCCGGGACCTTGGTGGCCCTTCTGCACACCCCCCACCCCCCACCCCCAGGTGAAAGTGGAGTTCAGCTTTGGTCGGTTTGAATATCGCCGATATTATCGGGGGGGGGTGGGGGGAGTGTTGGTGGAGGTGGGGGGTGGGGGGGTGGGGGGGTGTGCAAAACGCAGCGTGCAGGCGCGGGTGGCTATTGTCAACTCCAGCCGCGGCGCAAGGCTCCCTGCCCACCTCCGTGCACACACACACACACACTCACACTCACACTCACACCCCTTCCTCGCCGGGTTTCCCCGGCGGGCACTGGGGAATCAGGTCCCTCCCGCCCTTGTTTCCCGGTGTGTGTGTGTGTGTCCGTGTGTCCGGGCACCGGCGGTCCCCTGCGCTCCCTGTCCCTGCCGGTATTTATGTGTCTAAAAAGGCAGTTGAGAGAAGGATTTCCGATTCGTTTCCGCTTCAAATAAACGGCGCTGATAATCTCGGGCCTGACGCCTGATGCTGAAAGGGGCCACTTCGCCGCCGGGAGCCGGACTCTAGGAGCGGCTCCCCCCCCCCCCGCCCCCCGCCCTGCGCTCCACCGGCCCGACGGGCAGGTTCCCCCCCCCCCCCCCGCCCCGTCCCCGGGCGGGTTCGCAAGGGGACACGCGTGGGGATTCCCCGCGGGGGGAGGAGGATATGCATGGGGTGGGGGGGTCGGGTACTGCCCACCCATCCCGGCGCTGTGGGGTGTCGGTGCCCCCCGGGGCTGGGGCCGCGGGCTGGCGGGCGGGCGGCGAGCGGAGCTGGGCACTGGGAGGAGTCCGCCACAAGCAAATGCGGCCGGCGGGGAGGGTCGGGAGGAGGGGGGGGGGGGGAATGTGTGTTGCGGGTGGGGGGGCCCGGGCAGGGTTTCTTCCCCCCGCAAACCGAGGTGTTTCATTAGCCGCGGGCCCGCGGTGGCCCTGCCGGGGCCGTGCCGGGGGGGGCGGGGGGGGGGGGGGGGGGTGCACACACAGACCCGCCGTCCTGCCTCCCCTTCTATGTCCGTCTGTCAAACCGCAGAGGATGTGCGAGGCGAAGCAAAGCGCTGAGCCTGCTAGTCCTCTGCTGTCAGGGAAAGTAATTTGATCCTTTTCGTATTGACAGGAGGATTTCAGGGGTAAAGGACTGCTGGCAAATCCAATCCCGCGTTGAATATTATGGGTCCAAATGGGAACAATTATTGATCCGACAGCCCCTGCAGCCAGGACTAACTTGGTGCGGGCTACAGTAATGATATAATCAGCCGTCTCATGTTAGGCAGCGATAGCACAAACCTGAGGAAACAAGTGTCTAGGACCTTTTACTGTAGATGGGAGAAAAAATGCCTGTCGGGGAAAATGCGCAAGTGGCTGCTTCACACACACCTTCCTGCGCTTCTTCAGCCTTGGCTGAGCTTAGTCCCCTTGGTCAGAAGCTTCTTCCACTCAAAGGAGCAACTTTTTTCATCTCCATTTGTTTTTCAGCTGAAAGGAGAAATGCCGCTCCAAACAATGAAGTTGGACTTTAATCTCTGGGTTTAGCTCTGAAGGGTTATGTAAAATCAAGGGAAGAATAAATAAATAATAATAAAAAAAAAAAAGCAGAAACACTCAGTGGATGGAGACTTCTCTTCCATCTCTTACTGGCTTTTTTTTTTTTTTTTTTTTTTTTTAACTTCTCAGACTCAAAGTTTTAATTGGAACCAGAAATCTATTGAGAAGTAACTGAGCCAAGAAAACCTCTGTTTTCTCTGCAGCTAGGGATGGGGAATAAATAATTTTTTGCTGATGTTATTTCAAGTTGTTTGAGGTCTTTGGTTCCTGCCAAAAAGCCCAGCATAGATTATTAACACATTATCATTTTAGGAGGATGCACTCTCTGAAATGTAATAAAATGGTGTGTTAGGTTTGTGCAGAGCCATAAACTATGCTAGTTGTTGGCAAACAAAAGAAACAGTGGCCATGATTTATTATTAATAATAATCATAAATGAGCTATTTAGCTTGACTTGATATCTACTGAGTTTCTCTACGGAGGTTGCTCAGTATCGTTTCCAATAATGTACTTTGATTAAGTTGGGAACTGTTCCTTTTTAACAACTATTACTGCCACATGCGTAATTAACTCAAGGAGTTAAATGCTTGAAAAGGTCCAATCATCATTTTTTGGCTTCAGATGCTGTTTAATCTCCTCTTCTGGTCTGTTCTGACCCATCCTTTGAGCTCCTTTTTCCCATCTCTTAGGTGTGTGTGCCAGTTTACCAACAGGACTCTTGTTTTCCATTACAAGGTTTGGTTAATCCCAGTTTCAGTGACATTTTTTGCCCTCTCAGTAGGGCTCAATTGCTCACACATAATCTTTCCCTTCTGTTTTCTTTCCCCTTTGGACAACACCCTCCAGGACTGAAAAACTCTTGCCTTGTGCTCTGAGACTTGCAATTACATAGAAATTTTGACTCTTGACCTAACTAGTAGCAAGAAAGGCTATTGTCTAATGAACCACGTAAAAACAGTTCTGGGATCCAACAGATTGCTGTGATGGAAATGAAAGCTGTCCCAGTGAATTGATGACTGATTTGTTTAACCATATGCCTAGGCGTTTTTTCTTGCTCCCCGCTAACTACCCATCTCTGGAGTATCTGCGATCTGTGGGTCTGTGATGATGTTGAAAGGCAGCATTAATAACTGCCAAAATGTGCTCCTTGATGCATGGCCCGCAGTAGGGCCAGTTGAATATGATTTAAGCCATGTTCGGAAAATTCAGCATGTCATTTTTGCCTACCATAACATGTAGGCACACAGGGTGTTGAGCGCGTAAGTGCCGCAATTAAGCATGCATTTGATGATGAGACAAGGGCAGCAAATCTGTGCATAAAAAAACCCAGGTGGTCAGGTGAAATCCATAGCAAGATCTAGCCTCATTTGCTGAGTAGTCCAGGCACTTTTCGGGCAGCAGCAATCCAAGGTTTAGAGCTAGTCCAAAGCCTAGCAAGAAAGGTGAGAGTCAGTGGAAGAACTTCAGCAGAGAAGGTTCCCAGTGTTTTGCTGCAGGGCTTGTGGTTTCTACCGGGACTGGTTTTGCTGCTATTATAGGTTACGTTCTTGTTACTTTCTCTCTTACCAACTTGATAAAAAATAAGAGCTTCCTTTCCCGTTATTATTGTTGAGGAAATAAAATGACTCATCCTTTTAGGAAATTGTCATCTTGATTAAAGATGGGCTTTAGGTTTTAGCCTGGGGGCACTGTCAGATCTGAAAACTATTTCCAAAGTTTTGAGGTTGGGACTACTTTGCCTTCTGATACGAACATGAAATGAGGCTGCAAGCACGCGTTGTTAGCACAGTTGCTTCTGAGGTGTGCTCAAACCCTTAGAGACAGTTTCTTTCTCCATCTCCCCATGTGAAGGCTTCACTTGATGTGACTTCAAAAGTTCATTGTGTCTTCAAACCTGCTTAGAGATCTGCTGGATGCTGGGAACAAGCACAGCTCCACAACAGGCACCTGGATTCTGCATTCACATTTAACTGGTTGCAGAGAGAGCAAATCAAGGGAGGAGAAATGGGTGGTGGGGGGGAAGAAGTCAAATAATTGCTTAAATTGAATAAAAGCAGTCAAAGAATAATGCATCTTGTGTTTCAAAGCTGAGGAGATGTGTGAAGGAAGTAAGGCGTGGTAAATTCTGCTTATCAGCTCTTGAGAGGGAGCAGAGTTAGGGGCTGTTTTGCCCTTTAGGAGTTGGACATACTTTGTAGCACAGATTGTCCAAACACAATTATGAGCTTTTACTGTAAGCTGTGGGGCAGCTGGTTATAATAAGAAATTTGCTGACATTATTTCATTTAGGCTTTAGTTGTCTTTTATGAAATTGAAAATATCAAAGAGTTCTCAGGTTAGTCACCTCCCTCTCCAAAA